GAAGGTGAAGACGTATGGCAAACACGCCTAAGTCTGGTTACCTATGATACAGTACAGCGAAACAGTAACTTTTTGAGAACTTTTTATACCAATTTCTATCGAACTATGCTGTTCCCGAGACTCCTTGGTGAATATGATCAGAATAATCAACTCGGGCACTACAGTGTTTATACTGGGAAAGTCGTACCTGGCGAGTTGGCGACTGACAGTGGCTTTTGGGATGCTTACAGGACGGTTTACCTCTGGTTAAGTGTTGCCGCTCCGGACATTCTAGATCGTCTTTTAGAGGGGTGGGTGAATGCCTATAAGGAAGCTGGCTGGTTACCGACGTGGGCGTCACCTGGCCAGAGGGGCTCTATGGTTGGCACTATGGGGGATGTGGTGAGGAATTATTCACCTTCAATGTTGTATTCATTAATCATTTCAGGTTTTTGGTTGGGCGATAATTGCCAACAAGACGCCGCATTTGGCTGATGATATGTACGCGGCCATCCGGAAAGATGCTTTTGTGGAACGTCCTAAGAACTCGCAGTTTGGAAGAGAAGGACTTAGCGCGTACTCCGACCGAGGGTGAGTTGTAGTTCTCTCATTGATGATGGATAGATGATGATGAAATGATTTCAGATACATTCCGGTTAAATCAAATGTGTCCGAGGTCGTATCGAGAGGCCTCAATTTCGCCGAGGCCGACTCTGTGATTGCAGCAGCAGCGTCCAAACTAGGACACTATTCTGATGCTAGCGTTCTCTATGGCAGAGCTCAGAATGCCCTGGAGAAGTCCTTCAACACTGAGAGCAAATTGTTCGAGCCGCTCGAAGCTAGCGGGAACTGGATCTCTCCGTTCGACCCATCATTGTGGTCAGATGAGTTCTTTACTGAGGCTTCAGCGCGCCAGTATCGCTTCTATGCGCCTTTCAATGTGGATTTCCTCATCACGAAGTATAGTGGCCGAGAAGCACTCTGCGAGCACTTGGAAAATCACTTCAGTGAACAGGTGTGTCCAGTTTACACAAGCGGTAATTTTGGTTTACTCCACGAAGAAACCGAGTTGGGACTTACGAGCGAAGATTTTGGTCAATATGGTCACAATAACCAGCCGTCCCATCACGTTTTGGGTATCGCTGTCGCCGCTCAGTGTTTCCACGTCGCTGATAAGTACATGGAAAAAGTTCTGACGGAGCTATATACTCCTGATGGATGGTCCGGTGATGAAGACAACGGTGAGATGGCGGCTTGGTATATGCTTAACTCTTTGGGTTTCTACATGATTGATTTTGCCAAGGACGAATTACTGTTGTTCGCTCCCTTGGTAAAGGGAAACTACACAATATCATTGCTAGGCGAGAAGACAGCAGTTCGGGTTGAGAACGTCGATCTAAGCGGTGGGCACGCGAGTAGCCGTCCGTATGTGTGTGAAGTACATTGGTACCCGTTGCGTGGCAATATCAATGCTGCTGAGCTCGAGCTGGATTCGGCCAGATCTGTTCGTGGGTTGACGAGAAGACCTGAGCCTGTTGATTATGTTGTCCTTGAAACTCGTCGACTGGCTCGTACTGACTTCGTTAAAGGTGGACGTTTGGTCTATTTCACTAGTGCATCACGTTGTTGAAGAGTAGATAAGCATAAGCCAATAGTATCACATACTTATAAGTCTGGCTATTTCACCCATCCCTGTTAGAGGCCATTGTGGACTATTTGGCGCCTAGTTGTACTAACTCTGCTACAGAGTCTAACTCATTTTGGTATTCCTCGAGTCTGATATGACATAGGCTTCAGTTTATCCTGCTCATCATTGACTGTACTAAGAAAGCATTTTGATCTTACAGTCTCTAGTAGAGACTCTCTACGTCAC